GGCTGCAGTGTAGCCATCATTCAGCTATCTGCGGTTGGCAAGTAGTTAAAGTGATACTAAAGTCTTGTCTTTTTTTTTTTTTTTTCAAAATATAACAAATGTGTTATACTTTCCTGCTCTGTGTAATGTTTTTGCACAGAGCAGCCCCCAACCTCCTCTTCCCGACCCCTCCGCAGGCACTGGAAACTGACTGGAACTCTACTGCACTGGTGTGAACTAGGGCCATTGCATTACATGAAAAACACTGTGTGCATGCATTTTTGATGCGTAAAAAAAAAAAGTGCACTGGACTGCATCTGGTGTGAGCTAGCCCTGAGATTTTAGAACCACTTTAACCATTTGCCGACCACAGATAGCCGAATGACGGTTTCACCACGGCTGGCCAGTTCTGGGAGGGCATCATATGACGTCCTCCCAGAACGTGCCGTCCCACGCGCCACCGGCGATCTCCGTGATCAGTGTATCCTTCGGACGCAGCTGATCACATGATGTGGTAAAAGGCCAATCACAGCAGCCTTTTATTTATTATTTATTTCATATAGCGCCATCAATTTACACAGCACTTTACATATATATTGTACATTCACATCAGTCCCTAACCCTCAAGGGGTGTACAATCTAAGGTCCCTAACTCACATTCATACATATACATGCTAGGGACAATGTAGACAGGAGCCAATTCACCTACCAGCATGTCTTTGGAGTGTGGGAGGAATCCGGAGTACCCGGAGGAAACCCACGCAGGCACAGAGAGAACGTGCAAACTCCAGGCAGGTGGTGCTGTGGCTCGGATTCGAACCAACGACCCTAGTACTGCCAGGCGGAAGTGCTAACCACTTAGCCCAGGGGTCTCCAAACTATGGCCCTCCAGGTGTTAAGGAACTGCAAGTCCCTTGAGACCTTGCAAGACTTTGACAGCCACATGCAAGATTCCCAGAGGCAGAGGCATGATGGGAGTTGTAGTACTTCAACAGCTGGAGGGCCATAGTTTGGAGACCCCTGACTTAGCCACTGTGCTGCCCATACTTTTACCACGTGATCAGCCGTGTCCAATGACACAGCAGATCACCGGTAAATGCAGTTGCTGCTTATCGGCTGCACTTTCCTCACGCTGAGGAAGTACTGCCAATAACCGGCAATTGTCAGAGGATGGATCGGCACCAATCATCAGAACACTGATAATCAGTGCCCAGCCGTGCCGCCCACCTGTCCCACCTATCAGTGCCCATCATTTATGTCTATCAGTGCTGCCTCATCAACGCACATCAGTGAAGGAGAAAAACTACCTTTTTGCACAATTTTATAATAGAAACACAGAATTTTTATTTATTTTTTTTGTTTAAATCAAATAAAACACCCAGCGGCGAGTACATACCACCAAAAGAAAGCTCTTTTGTGTGATAAAACTTTCATATGGGTACAGTGTTGCATGACACTCAAAGCGCGACAGCGCTGAAAGCTGAAAATTGGCCTGGGCAGGAAGGGGGTATAAGTGCCTGGCAGGCAAGGGGTTAAATGAAGCCCTTGTGGATTGTGAGTTTTCACAGCGGGTGCCCTCAATTTTAGATGAGGCAGCCTAGGCCTGAGGTCAGTACATTCAGGCCTCTAGTAACAAAACAAAGCTGATATCAGGGCAACACACAGAGGGGGATTTTTGGCGTTTCACACATCAGAATGCTCTTTGTGAAGTTCACTATTAAGCAGGACTTCAAATTGGCTGACGGTTTGGAAACCTGAAGAGTCTAATCTGCTTGTAAACTGGGGGCCGAATGTTGGGAGGGATTGTATGCGGAATGACACAGTTGTCCCGAGCCGCCTGTTTGTACATGACAGGTGCTCTTTGAGGTGCTCCAGCTATTTTTGTGAGCAGTTTGTTCACCTGTAATGTTTCTAAGCTCCCCCCTTCCCCTGGCTGGATCACCATAGCAATATTCACGTGTTCTAGCAATGACCTTGGCAGCGCTTTCAAAGCTTCAAAAACTGCTAACTAATGTGACTTGTATGTGCTCTGGATTATTCCTCCCCGCAGTGCTGGCTCCGGGCTTTATTCTTCACTTGTGGAAACATTCACCTATATAAAACAAAGCCTCCATGTGCACAATGCTTATTGCAGGGTCACTGCTGTCACTTTTGTTCTGACCTCTGTAAAAGCTGGCTGTGTCCCGTACAGGAGGGTAGCTGGACTTCTAAAACCCGTCCAGTGCTTATGGCACGCCGTAATAGTGAGCGAGGCCACTGCATAACGCCCTAAAGAGGAACTTCACCCGACCCCAGGCTAAACGAATTTCCCCTTTTCTAATAATCGTCCGAATAGGGCAATTAACAAAACATATTAAAGCGGCGCTCCACCCAAAAGGGGAAGTTCCGCTTTAAGCCTTTGTCCCCCGCTGCCCATTAAAGATTGGCACCTTTGGAGAGCGGGTACCCGAATTTGACAGGTTCCCATTTCCGCTGCGATAGAATGCATGAAGGTAAAAAACAATTTGTGCACTGCAGCCGCCCCCCTAATACTTACCTGAGCCCCATCTCAATCCAGCGATGAGCACAAGAGCAGCTGCTCTCCCAGACTTGTCCCATTTTCTCCCACTGCTGTCAGTCACAGCCAATGAGGAGAGAGGAGTGGGGCCGACCAGCGGCTGTGTGTGTGTGAATGGATATGCAGAGCAGCGGCTCGGGAGCGAGCCTACCTGAGTGCCCACATAGCATATTGCTTGCCGTGGGGGCACTCGGCCAGAGGGAGTGTCCAGCAGCGCTGGCAGTGGACCTGAGAAGAGGAGGATCAGGGCTGATCTGTGCAAAATCATTGCACAGCGTAGATGTGTATGTATGTGTGTGTGTGTGTGTGTGTGTGTGTGTGTATGTATATGTGTGTATATATATGTGTGTGTGTGTGTGTATATATATATATATATATATATATATATATATATATATTTTATTTATTTATTACACACACATATATGTATATATATATATGTGTGTGTGTAATAAATAAATAATAATAAAAAAAAAAAATATATATATATAATTTTTTTTTTAAATTTATTTATTTATTACACACACACATATATGTATATATATGTGTATATATATATATATATATATGTGTATGTGTGTGTAATAAATAAATAATAATAATAAAAAAAAAAAAAATATATATATATATATATATATATATATTTTTTTTTTATTATTTTTTTTTCCTTTCTTAAATTGCCTTTTAATATTGCTTTAACCTCCTTACAACAGATGGTAAAAAAAATCTTAAAGGGGAAATGTGAATATATTGTGGAGGTGTAATGCATATATGTGGCAGGGATCGAATGTCGCACACTACACAAAATAGAGAGAAGAGCTCAGTGTAATCTGTGATCTGAGTTGGAGGGAGTGGACAACTCCCCACCACACACACACACTTAGGGAAATAATCGCATGATGTGGGGGGGGGGGGGTCGTAGGCAGATTGCATGGTGTCAACATTGTCTCTTAAAATGACTCATGCAGATAGCAGGGAAGAAGACAGCAGAGAGAAATGACACTTGGTGCTTTGGATTGAGGGAAGTACACACTATAGAAAGACATGCTTTGTTCATTTTTATTTCAAAGGTATACGACCATTTTAAAGTAAACTTGGTTGCATGTGTCACAGTATATAACATGAAGCAAAACCTATCAGCAGGTCAAATAAGCTCCAAAACCTGTAGAGAAGCATCTGTAGATGTGTAGATGCTTTGTAATTCAGATTTTTTTTTTTTTTTCTTCATATTTAAAAAACTTGAATTGTTTTTTTTTTTTTTTTTCTCTTTACATTGTAATTTAGATCTGCAATTTGCTTTTTGTTGTCAAAGGCATTGATGCAAACCCAGCATGCACTGAGACAGCCTTTTGATGTGTTTGGAGAGGAGAATGCTGGGAATTCTAGTTCAAGAGGAAGTGTGAGAGACCCTCCAGGAATGATGCTACTCGCTCCAGCACTCATTAGATTGCTGCTAATTGGTTTCTTGAAGCAGAGAAAGATGTGGACACCTGGCCATCAAATCTCTGAGATTGTTGAACATCCTGTTCTAAAATCATTGATGTAGCTTTGGCTCTCATTTGTGGCTTTAACGATCTCTACTGTAAGATTAAGATTTTGGTGTGTGGAAATGTGTTAAGTCAGGTACTGATGTAGGGTGAGAAGACCTGTCTCCCAGTTGGCGTTCCAATTCATCACAGGACCTCCTGCTCTCTAGCTCCCTGGTCTCCTCCTCCCACGCCCGATTGCAGGACTTCTCCAGGACTTCCCCCATCCTCTGGAACTCCCTACCCCAATCCATCAGACTGTCACCTACCCTCACCACCTTCAGGTGCACCCTGAAAACCCTCCTCTTCAGGGAAGCCTACCCCAACCTCACCTAACACCTGACCTCACCTAACAGCTAACCTCCTCCACTCCACCCCCCACAGCCATCTCCTCCTGTGCCACCTTCCCCTCCCTCCTAGATTGTAAGCTCGAAAGAGCAGGACCCTCGAACCCCTCGTGTAGTGTATTGTTACTGTCTTGTCTCATGTTCTGTCCCCCTTGCTGCTGTACAGCGCTGAGCAAACCCTTTGGCGCTATATAAATACTGTATAATAATAATCTCAAAGGCGTTCAGTAGAGTTGAGGTCAGAGCTCATTGTCAGCCACGTGAGTTCATCCACATCAAGCTGGTCAAACCGTGGCTTTGTGCACAGGGCCACAGTCATGCTGGAACAGAAAATTGTCTTCTCCAAGCTGTTACCACAAGGATGGAAAACATTTGTCTGCAATTACTGTATTCTGTAGTATTAACAGTACCCTTCACTGGAAACACTAGAACTTGAATTTGGAGGGGTGTCCACATGCTTTGTCTATATATAATAGGTGCATTTGGTCTGATGTCCACAAACGTTTGGCCACCTTCTGTATTAATAATGTCTTGTTGCAGTGTAGGACATCAGTGGTATGTAGCTTTGTCTGTGAACAGTCCGTTTTTAAGACCTTTTTATTTTTAATTTCCTCAGGCTGCGGATTTAAGCAAACCAATAGACAAACGGATCTACAAAGGGACGCAACCCACGTGTCATGACTTTAATCATCTCACAGCAACGGCAGAGAGCGTCTCACTGCTGGTCGGGTTCTCTGCCGGACAGGTCCAGCTTATAGACCCCATCAAGAAGGAAACCAGTAAGCTATTTAACGAGGAGGTGAGTTTAACGGTCAAGTATTTAATAAGCAGTTCCACATTCTGAGTTTTGGGTGGAACGGGAGCAGAGTTTTGATTCTGGTTTGATACTTTTTGGGATTTGGGGGGGGGGGGGGATTTGCCACTCCTATTAACAGTAGTTATGAGCTTTTAGCCTAGCTAGTCTCCAGCCTGATTTTACCATAGGGCATTTTAACTGAAGGCAACAGCATCATGCACTCATTCCCTACACATCGTAGAGGCAGTGTTTTTTTTTTGTGTTTGTTTTTTTTGTTTTGTTTGTTTTTTTCTTTTATAGAGTATAGGTTTTCCAAAATTCCGGTGTGTCAATTTTTGGTTTTAGGGTTTGACAGAAATTCCTGCAGCTTCTTTAATGTTGCTGTATGCCTTTGGCAGCCTCCTAGACCAGTTTTCTTGTTTTTTTCAGCAACTTTGGAGAAATGTCCAGTTCTTTGTAATGTCACTGTTGTGCCATGTTTTCGCCACTAGTTGATGACCACCTTCACTGTGTCCCATGGTATATCCAATGCCTTAGAATTTGTATTGCACCCTTCTCCTGAATGATAACTTCCAACAGTGAGATTCCTTTGATACGCTGTTTGGAATGGCCCATCCAGCTCCCAGACCGGAATGCAATTTGATTTGGAACGCTCTTGCAGGGAAGAGTGAGCAAAGATTCCCAAGGCAAGATGTGCCATGCTGATAGACGACTACCTCGAAAGACTGAATACCGTCAGTAAAACAAAAGGCGCAGCGCTAAATATATATTACACAATGAAAAGTGTCAAATACAATAATCACAACAACTTTCAAATAAACAGTTCAATATAAAGTGACTAGTGATGTGCAACAAGGTGGTATTGTAACAACCATAAAGTGGTTAAGTGATGACATAAATCTTTGTCACTGTAAAGTGACCACTGGTGCTAAATAAAGTGCTGATATAAATGGTTAAATGTCCATAAAGGTGATGTATGGAAGATCCAATGATGATCTTCAATTGCTGGTGATTAATAACATCTATCCAATGGTATGGTGATGTGCCCGGTAATATAAGAATTGCGCACTCACCAGATGCCGAATCAAATCACACATTTAGAGATATACACTCTCAGTATGGTCAGCTGGAGGTCCCTTTTAAGGGTATTTATGGTCTGGTCTGGAGTTCCCTCACTGCTTCCTCTGCTGTCAGCAATACCTCTGTCGTCCTAATGCAGCTCTGTGGGTTGTTAAAGCTCACGAAGAGCCCAATTAAGAGGAGTCCAATAGCGTGATATTGCTTTAAATGGGATGTATTTATTCCATATATTGCAGATATACAGATAAGAAAAATCACTGACCGGGACCCACGTGGTGTCGGCGGCATGACGTCACGACGCTGCAGCTCCTTCTTGACGCGTTTCATGCTATTGCCCATAATCATAGGGGGTGTGCCTTTTGCCTTTTCTGGACATTTAACCTTTTATATCAGCACTTTATTTAGCACCAGTGGTCACTTTACAGTGACAAAGATTTATGTCCTCAATCACTTTACGGTTGTTACAATACCACCTTGTTGCACATCACTAGTCACTTTATATTGAACTGAATATTTATTTATTTGAAAGTTTCTGTGATTATTGTATTTGACACTTTTCATTGTGTAATATATATTTAGCGCTGCACCCATTTTTATATTGATGCTTTGGAAGGCTTTTTGGTACCTTTTTTTTTGTGTTTCAGCAGCTTAGCCGTTTTAGCGCTCGCTTATCTCCTTGTGCTTTCTAAAACAAAAGGTGCTTCAACAAAGTGCTAATTTAAAGGCCTCATGCACACAGGGCGTTTTTCCTACCTATTTTAGGAGCATCCATATTTATGCAACCATGTTATTGGAATCCCCCCCTGATTATAATTGAATTTCACAGTCTACAGGTCATGCGGAAAAAAAAAAAAAAAAAAAAAAATTCTGAGGTTATTTATCCTTGTATGTGGGTTTTTTTTTTTAACATCTCACTATTTTTTAAAATTTTTATGGAGATATGTAGCCTTTTTTATTCGTGTGTGTGTGTGTGTGTGTGTGTGTGTGTGTGTGTCGCACGCACAGACACGCACGCACACACACCCCAAAAGTATTGGCCCCGCCCTCCAAATCATTGGATTCAGGTGTTCCAATCACCTCCATGGCCACAGATGTATAAAATGAAGCCCCTAGGCATGCAGACTGCTCTACAAACATTTCGTGAAAGAATGGGTCGCTCTCAGGAGCTTCATGAATTCAAGCGTGGTCCCGTGATAGGTTGCCATCCATGACATTTCCTGGCTACTAAATATTCCTATACTAAATATGGGATTATAGCAAAGTGGAAGCAACTGGGAACAGCAGAAACTTGGCCACCAAGTGGTAGGCCACGTCACATGACAGAGAGGGGTCCGCGCATGCTGAAGCGCACAGTGCGCAGAAGTCACCAACTGTCTGCAGAGTCAATAGCTAAAGACCTCTCCAAACTTGGTGTGGCCTTCAGATTAGCACAACAGTGTGTAGAGAGCTTCATGGAATGGGTTTCCATGGCTGAGCAGCTGCATCCAAGCCTTACATCACCAAGTGCAATGCAAAGCGTCGGATGCCGTGGTGTAAAGCACTGGAGCAGAGGAGACGTGTTCTCTGAAATGACCAATCACACTTCTCTGTCTGGCAATCCGATGGACATGTCTGGGTTTGTTGGTTGCCAGGAGAACGGTACTTGCATGACTGCATTGTGCCAAGTGTAAAGTTTGGTGGAGGGGGGATTATGGTGTGGGGTTGCTTTTCAGGGGTTGGGCTTGGCCCCCTAGTTCCAGTGAAGGGAACTCCTTAAGACATCAGCATTCCAAGACCTTTTGGACAACTTCATGCTCCCAACTTTGAGGGAACAGTTTGGGGATGGCCCCTTCCTGTTCCAACGTGGCTGCACACCAGTGCACAAAGCAAGGTCCATAAAGACATGGAGGAGTCAGTTTGGGGTGGAGGAACTTGACTGGCCTGCACAGAGTCCTGACCTCAACCCCATAGAACACCTTTGGGATGAATTAGAGTGGAGACTGTGAGCCAGGCCTCCTCCCCCGACATCAGTGCCTGACCTCACAAATGTGCTTCTGGAAGAATGGTCCAACCTTCCCATAGACACCCTCCTAAACCTTGTGGACGGCCTTCCCAGAAGAGTTGAAGCTGTTATAGCTGCAAGGGGCGGGGCCAACTCCATATTGAACCCTACGGACTAAGACTGGGGGGGCCATTAAAGGTCATGTGTGTGTAAAGGCCGGCCAACCAATACGTTTGGCAGTATAGTGTATAATGTATTCTATATATATTCCTTACATCCTCACTGCTAATGTTGCTGAATTTGTTATGATGTACATTCATGTACTTTTGGAATGACTTGGTCAGAGTGGATGTAAGCAATTTTTGCATTTAGAGACCAGCCAATCAGAATGGTTCTTCTATTTCCAGTATCAAATGAACGGATTAACTGGACTGGTTTTCGTTAACCCTGAATTTTCTTTGATTCCAATTACACAAGGCCCTTTGTATCTAGTGTTGCCTTCTGAAGAGTTTGGTCACGTGTATCCACTTCATTTCTAGCTCAGCATGCAGCCTGTGGAGTTCTGTTCACAAACTCTGCTGTCTCCAGATTGGAACCCATCTGGATGAAAAGAAAATTAAAAAAAAAATACCCATCCTTCCCTATGGCTGTAGGGTCAATCCACCCATGCTTGATAAACTGTTTGGGTTGTTTGGGATTCTACAGAGATTGTAGCTGTGCGCATTAGGCACGGCACATACAATTTTTAAAACTCTTTATCAAGGATATTCTTATTTGCTTCTGTTATGTTAACTTTGAAAGCATTTTGCTATATCTGAGAGTGTAAAAAAAAAAAAACCTGTTTATCCTTCCAGAAATCCCGAGGGCCCCTAAGGCCTAATGCACACTGAGTGTTAAAAAATGCAACTTTTAGGGGCATTTAGCGGTTTTTTTTTTTTTTTTTTTTTCTGCTTCTAAACTTCCCCCATGTTGGCCTATATGTCCATGCACACATAGGTGATTAGAGGCAGAAAAAAAACCACTGCCAGGGCATCCAGGAGCAACTGCGTTTTTGCGAAACACTTGTGTATAATACGTATAAAATGATTTTTAGGTGCGAATTCATTTCAATGGCTGGAATAAATGATTATTCTGCCCAATTAAATGAACAGCCAGGCGCTTGGTGCGCCGAGATGCGTTTTTAAAGCATTTTACTTTTTCCCTGCCAAAACGATGCTGACGGTAGGAAAGGCATGTAGGAGAGCTGGGCAAACTCCGTGTGCATGGGGCCTAACACAGGAAATGTTACTGGCAGGATCACCTGGTGATAATCCAGAAAGTAAAGAAAATGAATGTAGCCACCACCTGTAAGGGCTGGTAAGCTGCAATACATTATGTGAAATTCATAATTATATTGCAGAAACATTTTTTGGAGCGTAAAGCACGACCAGGGGCGGACTGACCATTTGAGAACTCGGGCACTGCCCGAGGGCCCAGGGTCAGTAGGGGACCCCATGAGATGCCCCTGGTACCTTTCATAGGCTTTTTTGGGTGTGGTTTGAGTGTAGGCAAGGACACAGGGGCCCCATGATCTCCTATTGCCCGGGGCCCCATGAGTTGTCAGTCCGCCCTTGAGCACAAGTGTAATGTGGGATGGTTATCTCACTTTCTACTGTAATAGTCACACGCACACGCACACCCCCACACCTGCCTATGACCTTCCATTGCTGCAGGGGTTAACATCAGTGGCTGTGAAGAGTTCCTACAGCTCACCCTGTTCTTCTGTCCCCTCTGCAATCCTGATGAATGACAGGATCTCCGCTGGCCTGTTGCATTCTGGGAGAACACTAGGAGTTGCGTATGGCGAAGGGGATAGGTAGGGGAGGGCAAGCAGCTTGAGTCCACTCCTCCTGTCATTGCAGCCTTTGCTCCTACACTGCTGTGACATGTCAGTGACTTCTATGTCCATATTGAACGTTTCTGCTCTACATTTGTATGTCCCTCCCGTGTGACGGCCCCTGGAGGAGTGGAATGACTAGGCGTTCTTGTACACGTCTCATGTCATGCATCACCTTCTCTGCTCCAGTCCAGTGCTCTCTGCCAGTTAATACAGAAGACTTGTCCCGGCTGCTTTCATTAAATGTGGGTGACAGGTACCCTTGATCTCTGTTGTGTAGTATGAAATAGCCGGAGACAAATTCATCATTTTAATCTTTTGGCTCGTTTGCATTCAGAAGATGTTTTACTTGGTTGCATTCACAGGCTGTGCATAGGATGATGGCAGGCAATTTGCATTTTGAAAATGTAAAAGGTATTTGCATGTACAGCTGCAGCTGGCTCTTCAGTACAAATACCAGAGCTGCTTTGTTTTCCCACAGAAGGGCTCACCTTTTAGCAGGAAAGTATTACAGAAGGCCTGCAAAAACAATAGAGACTGGCCTGTTTCTGAAAATGCTAGTTGACCGGCTGTCTCTGATTTTAAAGGTTAGGTTCACCTATTAGAACCCGTTGCCCATATTTAGCATGTAACATGACAAGAGAATGGTTGCACACCACAGTGGGACACTTCCCAGTTGCAAATGATTTATTCTAAACCGTATCATGAAGACATGCTGGCCAAAGATACAGGAGATCTTTTCACACAGCAAAATGCTTACTCATAGCAACATGGTTGTGGAAAGCGTCTCGCTATGGTGTGCAGCCATCCTCTTCCTCTTCTCATTGTCTGCAGTAGCGAGCCAGGCAGGCACCTGCATGTGAGGACTGTGAAGGGTTATCTGTCACTTACCTGGAGTGGTGCTTTTCTCTGTTTGGGCTTTTGGGGTGTAATATGTTCCATTTCTGGCACCATCCCACCCCCCCCCCCCCCCCCCATCCAATCCACCACCACTCCCCCATATAGAATGTGGGTTCAGAGATTTGCAGGGTCATGTAAGACAAATATTTACATGTTTTTTCTGCAAAAACACATGCATTCATTTTTTTTTTTTTTTTTTTTCCTGTAGGCCCTGTTCACACTTGTCATGCAATTTGACAGTTCATAATCGCATGACAAGTCGCACCCCATTTGTGCCTTAGGAACAGATTAGATCAGTGCGCATCCAACTTTGTTTTTTGTTTTTTTTTTAAAGAAGTTTCCTGCACTACTTTTGGCGATTCATGTATGACTTGCATAGGCACCATGCATGAAGTCACACAGATGTCAGGCAAGCCGCACATGAAATTTTGCACTGACCAGCAGCTTTGAGACCCTGCTACTTCAAGTGAAGTAGTGCAATTTCAAAGCAGCATTCAGTGTAAACCAGGACTTAATCATGAAATTGGCCTTTAAATACTATTTGAGCCATAACAGGAGAAAGAAGCAATGGCAGCCTGTTTTTTTTGGGTTTTTTTTTTTTTTTTTTTTTTTTTTTTTTTTTTTTTTTTTAGGTACAGGTTTTCTAGCCTGTCTTATAGAAAAAGGCACACTGCATGACCAAAAATTTGTTGATGCCTGCTTGTCACACCGGTATGAGCATTTTCGACATCTCGTTCTGAAACCATTGGGTGTTAACACGGAGTTGCTCCCCATCCCATGCTCTTGTTGGGAAAGAAATAAAATATATATATGCGCACACACATGTGAAACTTGAAAAATTTGAATATCATGCAAAAGTTCATTTATTTCAGGAATGCAACTTAAAAGATGAAGCTAATATATGAGACTCATTACATGAAATGCAAGATAGTTCAAGCCGTGATTTGTCGTCATTGTGATGATTATGGCTTACAGCTCATGAAAACCCCAAATCCACAATCTCAGAAAATGAGAATATTCCATGCAATCAATAAAACAAGGATTGTACATAGAACAATATCGGACCTCTGAAAAGTAGAAGCTGCATATGTACTCAGTACTTGGTTTGGGCCCCTTTTGCAGCAATTACTGCCTCAATGCGGCGTGGCATGGAAGGTATCAGCCTGTGGCACTGCTGAGGTGCTATGCAATTCCATACCAGGTCTGCTTATTGTGGGACCCAAGATCCCCAAATAAAGAAACTTTACAATTCAAATGGGCCTTTTCCCATAGATTTCTGACTGTGGACCACTTTCCACTTCACTGTTAGAGGATTCTCAAAACAGTGATGGGGTCAGTAGGTGAGATGGGGTGGACCAGAGCTAGTGACCAAATAAGTTAGTTGGTGCTTGTACAGTAGAGTGCCACCCTATTTGGACATCCTTGGGAGGACAGCTAGGTCTGCAGTGCAAGACTCTTCTCAGGACACTGTTGCCCTGGATGCCTTTTGTTTTTGGTCACATGACCACATGCCAAGGCACCAGTCAGAGGAGCTTGGTTGAAAGGGGTTGTATCGATAAAATAGCGATTTCTCCATACCTGCCTCATTTAGCTGCAGTCCTATGACCATTCCCACCACATTTGATCATGTGAATGCACATGAGCAGCAGTTTCTTCATCTTTTGAGTATATGGGTCTTGTGAAGGGCGTGGTTGGGGTAGGGTAATAGACCAGTGGTTAATTCTCTCACCATCCAGTTCTATACGTATCATATGAGATTCTGATTAGTTGGTTTTCTTTCTTTTGCCTCAATTTTCATAATGGCTTCATTGTTTTTTTTTTAGAAATATTTGCTATATTTGTATGAAATTAATGTACATTTTGTTCTTTATCTCTTGTCTTTAACAGAGGCTAATAGACAAGTCCAGAGTAACCTGTGTAAAATGGGTCCCAGGCTCGGAAAGCCTATTTCTTGTAGCTCATTCCAGTGGAAACATGTACTTGTATAACGTGGAGCACACGTGTGGTACAACAGCACCCCATTACCAGCTACTGAAACAAGGAGAAAGCTTTGCTGTTCATACATGCAAGAGCAAATCCACAAGGAACCCTCTACTGAAATGGACTGTGGGAGAGGGAGCCCTCAACGAATTTGCATTTTCCCCAGATGGGAAGTTCTTAGCTTGCGTAAGTCAAGATGGTTTCCTCCGGGTGTTCAACTTTGATTCCGTAGAATTGCATGGTACTATGAAAAGCTACTTTGGTGGACTCCTTTGTGTTTGTTGGAGCCCTGATGGGAAGTACATTGTAACAGGTGGAGAGGATGACCTGGTCACCGTTTGGTCTTTTGTGGACTGTCGAGTAATAGCCAGAGGCCAGGGTCACAAGTCTTGGGTTAGTGTGGTGGCATTTGACCCCAATACCACTAGTGTAGAAGAGACTGATCCTATGGAGTTTAGTGGAAGTGATGAAGATTTCCAGGAACTGATCAGCTTTGGTAGAGACAGGGCCAATAGTACGCAATCAAGGTTGTCTAAACGGAACTCTACAGACAGTCGTCCAGTTAGCGTGACTTACAGATTTGGCTCAGTAGGCCAGGACACGCAGCTCTGTTTATGGGACCTTACGGAAGACATTCTTTTCCCCCATCAGCCTTTGTCAAGAACGAGGACACATACCAATGTTATGAATGCCACCAGTCCACCGGCAGGAAGTGGGGCCCCAAATCCAGGTAGTAATGGCAACAGCATCACCACGCCGGGCAACACCGTACCTCCCCCTCTTCCAAGGTCCAACAGCCTTCCCCACTCTGCTGTGTCCAACACTGGCAGCAAAAGCAGTGTGGACAGCGCCATCGCTTCTGGCGTCAGCAAGTTTGCAACCCTGTCCATCCACGACCGCAAGGACAGGCACCACGATAAAGACCACAAGAGGAACCACAGTATGGGACATATATCTAGCAAGAGTAGTGACAAACTCAACCTAGTTACAAAAAATAAAACGGACCCTGCTAAAACATTGGGACCCCTCTTTGCCCCAGGATGGAAGACGTACCTTTGTTAGAGCCTCTTATCTGTAAAAAAATAGCACACGAAAGACTAACGGTGCTCATTTTTCTTGAAGACTGTATAGTCACTGCTTGTCAGGAAGGATTTATTTGCACATGGGCCAGGCCTGGTAAAGTGGTAAGTTTTAATCCTTAATGCTGCGCCAAGATTAGATTCTGGGCCTATGAGGAGAGTCTGTAGCTTTTGAAATCTTATGCTCATCAATCCGCTTGGTGCATGTTACAACTTTTTTTTTTTTTTTTTTATTATTATTATTTATAGTATTCTTTGCTGAAAGTGGCTTTTTTTTTTTTTTTTTTTAGAAAACAGTTGGTTTGGTCCTTAACTGAAAGTGTGGATTTTGCTTGTTTAGGGCATCTTTTTGCCTCCAGGTGATGATTGGATAGTCAGAGCAGGAGCCCAAATTTTGTAATGGGAAATATAGGTCTTGCTAGGAGGGATAAAAGAGGTTGGAAGGAAGACAATGATGTAGAAGGGGATGAAATAAAATGGAAGTTATACACCGGACTCTCATGTGAGTGCTAGACCAACTGTTTTCTACTGAAGGAAAGGGGTCTGAACTGCCATTTTTTGGCAGATAAGGTATACTGAAAGCATCAGAACTTGCATCAAACTGATGAACAGAATATTTCAGAAGTGGCAGGTCTCTCTTTAAGGCTAATCTGTCGGCTACACTCAATAAAATCGGTCATTTTGTCGTTGGAGCTAGTATAATTCCAGTCTCTTCCCTAATAGCTAGCGTGATCACAACACTGTACTGGTTGCTTTTATTGCTTGTAGTTGACAGGACCACGAACATTCTTTAAAAAAATGCTGACATTTCTTTCCATTTATGTAGAAGGCTATTTTTTTCAAGACATATTTTGGTTTACTGCATGTCATACCGTTTTGAATCATTTGAAATTTTTCCACTGCAATCCGTATGTTGACAAATTCTACGTGTTATATCAAAACCTTTTGTGCCAACCAAAGAAAAAAAAAAAAAAAAAAAGTTAACAGAGAGCCTGTACGTTGTAATACATGCAGAAAAGATTTCTTCTTTGTCCACGACACTGAGGTGGACCTCGATCATTCAAAGTTTTTTATTTTGTAAGCGTTAGCGAGCCCGGAACGTGACTGGGTATGGTGATTGTAGCCTGGCAAACCTTTCATTGGAGGCACTTGTTAATGTATCAATGAAGAAGTGTATATTGAGTCACTCTAGAAGCAAACTAAACTTGGACACAAGTTTATCCTATTAAGTTAATAAGATCTGTATTTCTGTAAATAAATCGGTTACCTTGATTTCTTTAGTATGCTCAATGTGTAACTCCTTTCTTGCCTATCACTTCCAATATTTCATTTTTATTTTTTTTTTTCATTGAATTTATTTAAAACTGAATAAGTAGATAGCAACAATTTTTTTTTATTTTTTTTTTTTAAAAAAAGGGAACACGCAAAGTATGCTTGAAATGCAGGCAACAAAGTTTAAACTAAGGTTTGTCTATTTCCAAGGGTCTAGGGTAGGAGAAAGAACCAGGTACTCATTTCTGAAGGACATGTAAAGGATATAGGCCAAGAGGCTTCAGACACAAGCTGCCATTTTTTGGCTCCTGGTAGGTGTGGGGGCAGTGGTTTAATTCTCAACGATGGGCATCATATTGAGGTCCACTACCTTGGGATGAAGATGCAGCCCAGGAGTCAGAGAGTGGCTGCTTCTATCTGGGGCAACATGGGAGTCTCTTATTGTGACAGATTCTCTTTGGTATGTTAGGGACTGAACAAATTTTATGTTGTGTGGTTTTTTTGTTTTCTGGGCTGCCAAGGTATGCCTACACACTTGTTCTTTGAAGCTCAGACTGGATCACATTTGTTTTCTGTAGTGAGGCATGTCCATGAGACTTATCTGAAAGCTGTAGACAACTTATCACATTAAGCAAAACTGAAGTAAAATAAAAACCTCCTGCTCCCCTGCCCACCCCGCTCTGCTAAAGCCATAAAAGGTTCTAGATGCCCCAAAAAACTTAAAGGGAACTGAAGTCTGCAAGACTTTCCTCCCTCCAGCGATGCAGCATTTGTGTATCCCTCATCTGTGCTGGCTTCTTCATACTTTTTTCGGGGTTTGACACCTTCAGGTGTGTTTACTGGCCGGACTGGGATGGTGTAACTTTTACACATGTACAGGAGATGATCCTGGCAGCAAGGCACACCACAAATGTACACAAAGCTGCAGGTGGACAGCTTAGTGTACATTTAGAAGAGGCGTTAGGATGAAGAGGTGATTTTACTGCAGAAGAGGCGTTCTACATGGACCTTAAAAGATCTATTTTATAAGTGCTCAGAGAGGACACAGTCATGTAAATCCTGGTGTCTCTGGAGATCTAGGTTGTGTTCACAACACCAGCAAGTAAAGCAGCAGGCTTCTTTTTCACGTCAGATCTTCTAGGCACTGTTGAAAGGAGCTTGTTTACAGAGCTCAGTAGCTGCAGATACTCTTTACACACACTGATTTTCTAGGAGTTACTGCTTTCCTATTCAGAATTTCAACCATGAAAGACAGCAAGTTTGAAGGCAATTGGCTTATGTTTTTTGCTAGCAACCCATAGTGCTTTAGGAATCGCTTCACAGGCACTCCCTATAGTAAATGTTATTTCTTAGTGGTATAGTACAAGACACAGGATCTCTAGTCAGAACTGTGGGTTATAGGTAGCTACCCTCCTGTGATTGCACACTGGCAGGAAAAGCTGTAGGGACATCCCTTCTAACACCTCCTGTGCCCAGCTAATCTGAATTTCTTGGCAATGTTAGGCGATAGATTCACTCTATGCAGAGTGAACTTCCCCCATTTTTACTGGGAAACCTGGGGCGCGCTTTTGTCTGAAGCCATGTAAAGCTATATCTGGGTGCACAGGTTGATGGTGTGGACATTGGGGACCCTGGTGTCCTTTTTCCTCCACCTAATCCCAGGAAAGCTCAGATGTTTGGGTCCAGAGTGTGGTATCCAGGTGCTAAAAACTGGAGTTTTGAGCTCTGCCTTCTTCATGCTCTGAAATTTGGCATGCTGTCTGTAAAGACAGACAAATCTACATTAAATCAAAGACGAATTCTCCTGCGCTCTAGGACCCAGACAGGTGGCGAATAGATGGAACCAGGTCTGGAGAATTCGTCCACCAATGCATAAAGGGTGCGCTTCTCGTTTTCATTTCATTCTGCAGACAAATCTACATGCTGCTACTCTTTAGCTTCTTCAACAGGGGAGGTTGTTGCCCCTGTTCTGGACTAGATGCGGTTTCAAGTGTTTTACCTCAACCTGTTCATTGGCCCCGAGGAAGATTGAGGCATTCGCCCAGTTCGGAATCTCAAGCCCTTAAACGTGTTTCTTTAGATGCAGAAGTTCTGCATTGAACTTGCCAGGTCGGTCATTGCCTTCCTTCTACTGGGGGATCTGTTGGCTTCTGTGGACATTCGGGATGCTTACCTACACACACCTGTATTTCCACCTCATTTAATGCTATCTGTAGTTTGCACGGGCATGCAGCACTACTAGTTTGTGGCCCATCCGCAGTGCCCCCAGTATTCGTCATGGTGATTGCTCTGCTCTGGTCCTTGTTTTGCTTTGAGCACAAGGTACCTACAGTGGACTACATTCTGATAAAGGATTAGTCTGCCAAAGCCCTGTCTGCCCATGATTCTGCTGCCCCAGGACAAACTCCTGTACCTTTTTGGTTCCTGAGCATCAAAGTTTTGTAACTGCAAGCAGGTTGGTTGTCCCTTTAATGTTGGACCGATCAGCTGCTAGGTGACCCAACCACAGTTGAGTCCAATGTCATGCCAGTTGCCTACATCACCACCTGGGAGGCAACAGAAGTTGTGTCGTTCAAAGGGAAGAAGTTCTGATTCTATCTAGGGCAGAACTTACACGTTCCTGCCCTATCTGCCATTCACCTCCCAGGTGTAGAAAATTGGCAGGCAGATTTACTGAGTTGTCAGCGTCTGGGATCTGGGGGTCTCTTCACCCTGAGGTGTCCCAAACTTTTCCACAGGTGGGGATGGGAGGGGGCACTTGACATACTTTTTCTGGTGTCCAGGTTCAACAATAAACTGGACAGGTTTGTTGGCAGGTCCTGGCATATTCTGGTGACTGTGTGATCAGTTCGATCTAATCTGTGCCTTCCCTTGTCTACTGCTCTTTCCTCGAATGCTCTGCAGGATTGAGATGGAGGGTGTTCCAGTGATCCTCATTACTCTGAACTAGCCCAGGAGATCACGGTATTTGAGCATTCTCAGTTTAGAATACTAAGACAACGTGACCCCTCCCAGGTTGTCTGGATCTTTTGTCCCAAGGTTCAGTTCATCATCCTGCTTCTTGGTCACTGGCTTTAATGGCGTTGTTGTTGAGGCCTGGGTCCTGAGAGATAGGAGCTGATGGATTCTGTCATCCCTATGCCCTTGAAGGCTAGGAAGTCAACTTCTCACTAAAATTACCGCCACACCTGGATAGCCTACATTTTGTGGTGCAGAGCTAGGAAATTCTATCCTAGGTGGTAGTTGGTAGGATAAATCTTGTTGGGTTTTTTTTTTCTTTCAGTCTGGTCTGGACCAGCATTTGGCCTTGAGCACCAGTAAGGGATGAGTCTTGGCACTGGCTGTTCTGTTCCAGAGACCGTTGGTATTTCATTCCCTAGTTGAGGCCTTTTGTGCTTATCATTCTCCCTCTACAATCCCTGTTGACAGGGTGGGACCTCTACTGCTTCTCATGGCCCTTCAGAGGCTGCCCTTTGAATTTGTTGGGGTTCTTCTTTTATCTAGTCTCCATGTTAAGGTGGCCTTTCTCATTGCTGTCTTTCAATTAGCAGCTTTATTCTGTAAAGAGCCTTTCCTAGTGTTATACAAGGTGGTTCTGAGGCCCAGGGCCTCTTTTCCCCTCCAGGGTGATTTTTTCTCCTTCCGCCTTAACCCGGACATTGTTCTTGCCCTATTTCCTGCTCTGAAACATCCCAAGGATTGTTCTCTGTACTGTCTGGATGTAGTACATGCTATTAGAGTTTCTCTCAGCCTCCTTTGGGCAAACTGATTCCTCCTCTGCCCTTCCCGAAGGTTTTCGTGGAGACTTCCCGCCTTCCCGAAGGTTTCCGTGG